TTAAGCAATCATTAAACACTGATTGCTAAATGTTACATTTAGCAATCATTAAACACTGATTGCTAGATGTTACATTTAGCAATCATTAAACACTGAATGATAAATGTTACATTTAGCAATCATTAAACACTGATTGCTAAATGTTACATTTAGCAATCAGTGTTTAATTATATTGAATAGCTTCATTAGATAGTATAAAGTAAGTTAACATCATTATTACATTTTATGTGATATTTAGATCACAAAAAAAAACAAAAAACTTAATACTAACAATGTTTGATTTTGCTTTTTAATATATATAAATATATATTTAAGATATTTTATTTTTTAATAGGCAAATTGTTCTTACATGCATTATTATTCTTATGATTTCAGTAGTGGAAAATATTCAATCACTGAAGCCACTGGAGTGGAGCTTGGGACAAAGATTGTTGTCAAGCTCAAGAGTGATTGCTGGAAATATTCTGTTGAAAATGATGTCAAAGGTGAGCTTAATATTCAAATCAAAAATTACCAAATTATAATAATAATAATAATAATAATCTTTATTTTAATCTACACTTTTAAAACAGTGGCACACGAGAACGGTGTGTTCACAAAGATTGAACATTCTGCTTTATTCCTTAACAATTTTTTCACTTTATCTTTATTCAAAATCCTTTTTTAATGTCTCATGAAATGTGGCTCAGTTCAAGTTTATTCACAAAATAACGTGTTTTGATTAATGGCGTATATGCTTTGTCGAGCATAATACTAATTAATAATATTGTATTCAAGCTTAGCGTGACAAGATCTTTTTGAGGAGAATTGTAATTTTTTTTAAAGTTATCTGTTGTATATTGCTCTATCGATCCTTTAGCATAGTCAAATATTCTTTATATGTTTAAATTTGTTTTGTTGTTTGATATCTAGAAATCATCAACAAGCATAACACTTTCCTGGGATTTCCAATTTATCTTAATGGCCAGCAATTAAACTTTCAGGAGGTAGGTCTTTTTTTTTGTATTTTTTTTTTCTTATCTGTTATCAAATTATTGTGATGTCTTCAGGTATGTTCCATTTAGCTACTGCCTGTAATGTATTTTCTTTAAACCTCCTGTAAAACAATTAGGCTAGGCTCAAGGGACATACAACAGCGACATTGCAGGGACAGCACTGTAGGGTGGATTAAACAGTGCACCAAGTAATAATCTACTGTTGTTCCAAAAGAGCCTAAACATACATAGCCTCTTCTACTAGTTGCCCCATCGGTGAGTTAGCTCAGTAATTTTTTTAATGTTTTCTTTCCATTGTGGATGTATAGATAAAACAAATTTGTGTTTTTAATTAAAGAGTTAAAGGTAAGTAATTTTCTGATCATTGGGGAAAATATATTTACAAGTATTTTTTGTTTTTTTTAGGCTTTGTGGAGTAAAGATTCAAAAACCGTTACAGAAGATGACCACACCAAATTCTACCAATTTATAAGTCACAGTACTCACGACAAGCCTCGGTTCACACTGCACTATAAGACAGATGCTCCCATCAATATTCAAAGTGTTTTTTACATCCCAGAAAGGCCACCAGCAATGTGGGAATACAGTCAGGACTATAAAAGTGGAATTGCCCTTTATTGCAGGAAGGTTTTGATACAGTCAAAGGCAGACAACATTCTCCCAAAGTGGCTGCGTTTTATTACAGGTACATGCTTTAAAATATGA